ACTATCTGATTGCCTCTCAGCTTAACCATCAACCGGAGGACTCAGCGAGCACTGGACGACAATCAAGGAAGCGATCCAAATATCGATCGAAAAAACGGCAGATTTTGGAGCACGACCAAATTAAGCGATGGATCTCCCCGACCTCGGTTGCCTTAATGGACGCTCGCAAATTCCTTAAACGACAGTTCATTAAGAGTAAATGGTGGGTAGGGAAGTGTCGAGAGATGGAGAAGGCTGCGGCCATCGGTAGTTGTTTTCGTTTAATTAGGAGGACAGGTTCAACGAAAGTAGTCGTAAGTGAAGTAACTAAGGTGGGTGACTACTTCTCGTACTTGGGCAGCTGCGTGACCAACGACGGTAGCGTATCAAATGAGATAACCGCCCGCATTTCCGAGGCTCGAGCAGCGTACGCAGGACTAAACCACCTGTGGCGGCGACGTAACATTTCACTGAAGTAGAAAAGTCACGTATAGTGCGCCACTGTACGATTAAGTCTGCTTTACGGTTGAGATCTTGAACTTGCGGGTAGAAGACATCCGTCATTTAGCAGTGTTCGACAATCGATGCTTACTTAGTCTGGTCCAAGTGGGATGGAGTAAGCGGGTTAGTAACTTAGAAGTCGTCGGGTGTTTGGAAATACTTTCAAAAAGAACTCGCTATAACATGGAATCCAGTTCCGTTGGTTAGGGCACGTTTTGCGTATAACCGACGATTGCCTACCGCAGCGCGCCTATATTCGCTGTAGCCGCTCCGGGCTGGAGGAAACCACTTGGAGATCAACAGATGACATGGAGGTGAGGCATGGAGAAATGCACAGAGCGATTAGATAGAGTAGGTCTCTTGTCTTCCAGGGTGGGGTCCAAAAGACTCCGTAACCGCATGGTTGAAGACACTGAAGAATATGGCAGTGAACTGACAGTAGTGGCATTCTTGTTGTCCTTTCTTATCAGGCCAGAATACTTGAAATAGTATGCATTCGTGGTTGGGCTGTGTACTGTGTTGACCATAGAGGTTCTCTTTCTTTTCCCGTCCTTAAAATTAAGTCCAATCCTCCTTAAACATTCCCACTCACCTTGTATGCAGTATGAGTTTGGCAGCGATCAATGAAGTTAGTTTCACTGTATTACGCTGTACAATGATGATGATGAATTGATCTATTCATAAGCGATGAGTTCGTACGGAAAATATACGTGTTGGGAGTTACCCTAAGGTTGACTTTGAGGAATAAAACTGCAACACCAAGCACGCTGAGCAAGTCACCGTCATTTCTGATGGATGTTAGTTGTGCATGTTTTACTAGACCTTTTGACTCGTGTTTGTTTGTCTCAGAGGTTGCTTGGAAACGTCTCCTCGATAAAGAACCTGCTACTGAAGCTGTCTCCTACCTGCGCAATGAGATCGCCTGTGGTTGGTTGGTAGGGGGATACATTCACCTAAGGTTAGCTGGGAATAAGCTGTGGCACTACCAGGGTGTGGTGGGTTTCAGGCTAGTGACCTGACTCTTGTTCAAAAGCTGCACAAGCCCAATGAGATGTCGAGACAAAGGTCGATGTGACTGGCCTTTTAAAACTTCCGAGGCAAGGAATTACTTTCTGCTGCGCTGCAGTTTGCATTTGGTTGTGCAAAACCTAGAGGTGCACCCTCAAAATAAAAAACGCCGTGACGCTGGGGACGTCTCTCGTACCAAACTCCCAAGGAACTTCATGATCACGGTTATGTCTGGAGCCGGTTTATTTTTTCCAGCCGCCGTAAAGTTGGGAGAGTTGGTAACACACCTCAGAGGTTCCTTGGGGAAAATTTGTAATGACACCATTGCACCAAACCCTAAGATAATGTTATTCGGAATCAATCTTCTGGAGTTTTACGAAATGGTGGCAGCGGTGGTGGTACTCATGCAATCCTAGCCAACCGGACGGACAACGGTGAATGCCTATTTCAACTCTGCGCCAGCCACAGACGGCTCATGTGAAATATTACATGTAAACATATAATAGAGCAGAGGGGATGCCAGTATACCCAGCCAAGATGATCCCACGTTTACCAGTTCAAACTGATCTCTCAGCAGAATCGAACAGTTCTGTCTTTGCGACGACCACAAGGAATACTATTAACAAGAGGCTTCGATGAAAACAATTTGAAGCTATGACTAATGGAGTTTGGGATATTCCTGCTATTCCTAATTCTGCTAAAATAGAAAACATGGTCGAGATACCTCTATGCTTTTATAGGCTGCATTTTTGATTCTTTTCTTTGATACTTCAATACAAGGTCAGATCTATATGATGAGCAATGATGCGTTCTCCAGGACGGAGTATCAGGTCCCTAAGCGTGTAAGTAGGGGCACCACTAAGACAAGCAAGCAAAATCTTAAAAATGTTCAGTTCCTCATACTGTGAGTAGGCAATAGGACTAAAATCCAATCCATACGAGCATTTACTGATGCACCAATCAAATTCAAACAGTGAAAATAATGCGTCTGGCCTAACAACCACAAATTACCTATAGGCACTGCCAAAAAGCCATACAGTCCTAGGACTCAAGAGACTACCAGAAATTTGAAAACCTGAGGAGTGAAAACCAAACTTACTCGAAGAAAGGATTCTCCCGGGTATTGAATTGGTGCCGTTGATGGAGATCACTCGACGACCGCGAACTCCTTGTGAAACCTGAAGATGCTTGTCACTTGGAACGGCAGTAAACCGATTATTAACTAAAAACTGAGTGCCATTTGACGACTCTATACGGCGGTTGCATAGGAAAAAAGTAGAACCTTCTAAGATGTTGCGGTTCAATTGATGCATATGCTGTTTACCTTGATAACCATCAACCGACCTGGGCAGGGGCGAATCTGGACGAGCTTGTTCGTCCGATTCCGATTGTTCGGTGTTGATGGAATCCAACTTCGAAAAAATCTGTTTCGATTTACCTTTCTTTCTTCGCTGACCGTGGCGATCTACGGTTGAATCATTTGATTCCTCGGTAAGTTCTCCGGAAGGATCAGGAACAAGAACATCCTCGGGGCTATTATTCACTTCATTTCCAATGACTTCTTCGCGCACACCCAGTAAATCATTTGGATCCATTAGGAAAAGATCCCCGTAGGGGTCTCTGCCAACACCTGGACAGCCGTTGTCGAAGCCAATCTCAGACATTTCGTTGGAAAGCGGTTCCGAAGTGGAGTCAAATGGTTCCGCCTTGATCAAAGGGACTTCATCTTCGAAAAATTCCTGCTTCACTCCGGAATCATTCAACAATAATTCAGACATGATTTTTATCCGGGCATTAAAAAAACGATGGAAACAATAAAATTTTGTCAAATCCAACGAAGCCGCCGAAACAACGGTCGCCCAGATAGATCGTTTAAAACAAAAAAACTGACAATATCCAGAAAACGACAGTAAACTAAATTGAAAGTCACACGATTCAATCGATAAGTGATGAGTGATTTCATGAACAGAATAAGGTGTTTCTTCCTTGGGGGAAGCCTAACTTGTAGCGTTTCAAATGACGCGAGTAACCGCGCGGTTCGAAAATTTGAAGTGTTGCTTCTATTGGTAAATTTGGACCTGGTTCCGACTTATTAACGCGTTTGAGCAAAGGTAAAAAGCCCTATTGCCGGGCTCACTTTCTGTCCATTCAGGCGAAACTCTCTCCGTGTTGAGCCTAACGCTTTTGCTTGTCTTGCACGTAGGATCGGTTTGTGTCATCTGATTAACCCCATCAGAGTTTTAATTAAGCTTTTTGAACTAATTCAAGTACCGTCAGTATTATTATCATGCCGCGTGTTTTATTTCCATGCCTTTAAGTGTCATGTAGGAGACGCGTTGTGTTGTTTATAGAATGTGGCATTTGCTAGGCGTAGGTGTAAAAAACTTGCTCACAACTCTCAAACACACTGTATAAGCTCTATATTACTCAAAAAACTGCGCTAAAAGATAGCCAGAACCTCTCGCCTAACGGTAGTCGTTCGAGATCGTTACGCGGAAGCTCCACCACGCTCAAGTCGCCACCAGACCAAGCACACTCCTTGTCCAAAATACCACATCAGTGCTCCCGAAGGAAACGCTACATCACTTGACGCTACAGACTCCTGTCGTGGGCCCCAAAAGAGATCACAGTCGTAAGCAGTTGAAACCAGTGTCACCATCAAACAAATGGAAGAAAATAGCCAGCCTTTTTTGCTCACATACACTTGTCTATAACAACCGTACCGGCTAAAAGTGGGAAAAAATCTTACAATGTTCTGAGGAATTCGGTCTTCCACCCTCCCTGCAGTGGAAGAGAGCACATAGAGTGGGTAAATGGAGCCCCCCAGATAAGAACTGCGCCATAGCAGTGCGTCCTCTGCTCGTGGAAACCCACTTCTCTAAAGATCCGGATTTCATCCTCTATAAAGCAAAGGTGATCGCAGCAGCAATGAAAACTAGTTGCATTGGTCATTTGTAGTGATAGCAGAAGTAGTAGTAGTGAAGTTACGCACAGAATTCAGGACACGAACTACGCAACAGGAATCACGGAACACGAATTAGAAAACTGATGGCACTAGTCGGCAATGGCTCGAACTCGCAATAACCCGCAGAATAGAGATGCGAGGAAAAAGACCACAAGACAGGCGAATCACAAAGTCGTTTATTGAAGGAAATGAAAGTGAATATATATGTACACAAGAAAAGATCATTGGCTACCTTAGTTTCCACCAATCATATTGCATCACATCTTGCGTCATATTGCTCTTCTCTGCATTGTATCTGATTGGCTGGAACGGTGCACCAATCACGTGTATCCGGAGACTGTGTGCGTGCTACTGGCGTCAGCGCTCTAGGTCGATTGACTACCAATGTCCGGAAACTGTACCGCGCTGCTCCGGAGCAGGCGTGATCTCGTAGATCCGAATCACCATATCCTGACTCCACCTTGTCGAATACACCCAACCCGGATGTCACAGCAAACCTTCCTCGATTACTGGTCAACATCAACGGTCTGCGTACAGACAACCGTGGGCCAGACAGCGGACCTGATTGAACTCGCAGCCTATGCAGGCCGATCCCAACACCAAAGGAACCAGTTCAGAGCCAGAAATATGCTGAAGGAAATGTTCGGCCAACCATTCCGAGTGACACGAAACATGATTGACGAGGTGCTAGCAGAGGCAAGGCGCACACGATGCGATACTAGGTCTCTATCAAGCCTGATCATCAAGATGCAGCATCACCCTAAATCACCTCAAATATCGGTTGGACCTGGATGCACTTCACACGCTGGAATCGACCGTCAGATGTTTGCCGGCCGAAATGCTAACAGCCTGGGCGACCGAGGCCGATCGAATCGAGAAAAGGAACAGAGCGGCAACATTTGACGAACTCGCACAATTCATAGGTTACCAATCTCGCATAACAAATAGTCTATTGGGTCAACTGGCGAGGGAAAATATCAGGACCGCTAGACCTTGAACCAACTTTGGGCCGTCTTGATCTCGAGGTCCCCCTACCCCACACAACTGGGCGAGCACCAACTTAATCTCATTTGACACACAAAGACCAATTAAGTGCAAACTATGCACATGTGTCCACAAGATTGTTACCTGCCCAGAGTTTTGGGCATTTAAGGTGATGGACCACTGAACAGTAGCTAAAAGGACAGGGTCCTGCTTTGTGTGCTTGATCGATACCCACAGATCAGCCCTTTGTAGAAACCGAACCAACTGTGATCGAAACAATCGCAGGGTTTGTCACCACCCGTTATTACACCACGATGGAGGAGTCGAGCAACGAACGAATAACGACCGGGTCGATAGAGCCGACGAACACGCTGCGGGGGATACACCAAAATCTGTCTGCACTATCGGACGGATGTCAGGTGGGTCGGTCCAGATGGGAATAATACCAATCCAAGTGGAAACTCCGCGTGGCATGGTCCAAGCCGTGACGTTTCCAGACAGTGGATCGGATACCACCCTCGTGAGAGAGAGCTTTGCCGGAGAAGACGATCCGGGTGGGTGGACAGACCAACTCATTGACAATCAGCACGGTAAATGGAGCACGAGCGTTTGAGCTTCTCAACTGAGTTTGAAGTTAGCTCTCACATCCGGGGAAGATACGATAGAGGTGCACCAGGCTTCCAAAAGTTTCCAGTCGTTAGCGCGGCGCTGGCCTCACCACCACGATTTACCGTTCGAGGATGTTCCGGACACCCGAGTGGACATATTGATCGGCT